TTTAGGATCTCTAGCAATACTCTGCAAGGCATGAATTTTAATGAAGGAAAACTATCCATATGTAGATCTTGTTGAGTATGTGTGTTGTGGCATGCCAATGTACTTATGATCCGTAACTACAGATGGAGAAGGCTAGTCATGATGTCTGGAGTAAGCTAAGCTCAGGCTCAGTTTCAGAACTACATACGCTGGCTCTTTCACTGGGACGCAGTTCTTCTTCAGTGTACTTCTCCAGTGCTGGGATTGTAAAGATGTAGAAGTATTAAGAACTACTTCTAATCATGAAAAATATCTAGATACGGTTTTAAAGAGTTGAAGGAAAGCAAGAAACTGATGATGAAGAATAAAGGAGTCATTCAAGTGTTGAAAGAAGCCTTTGAAGTGAGATAATAGATGGATTAGAGAAGTGTGAGTCCTAGTATTTCATTAGTGAGTGTGAGGTACCATCTTTCATTAAATCCAAGCCACCATCAATTGTAAGAAAAAACATTCTATGTACACTAACCAAGAAAAAAGAAAAATATTTGCCATTTACACTATGATACAGTGTTTTCTTATTACAGCAGTTGCAGGGCACTTCCCTGATTTCAGAGTTGTTCATTTGTGAAAGTCTGAACATGATAGAATAGGGTAAGAACATATGATTAGTTCATGGAGGAGTGACAAGGAAACTTGGATTTACCTCTTATTTTTCACTTTTAGTTTCAGGTTTCTTTTGTTTTTAGGCACTTTCACTCACTTCGGCTAGAAAGTTCTCTTACAGTTTACATTTGATTGATTTGATTGATTTGTAAAAGGGACAGGATTTGCTAGTTGATGGTAAATCGTGTACCATATTTTCAAGGCAACTAAATAAATTGAATTTTAAGAGAAATGCCAATGAATGAATGAGAAATTGGGTATTTTTAATCCTAGCATTTAATGTAACTGTAGTAGAAATATAATTTTTAAGTAGTTATACTTTTGTGTTTAAGATTCTTTTCAAAATTGGGAATTAGATACACACCATTTCTGATTTTATGTCCATTTGATAATAGTGATAATATATTTGGAGATTTGAACTTTAAAGTAAATGAATTGAAATAGTTATTTTATAGCAGTGATTCTTAAACTTGAGTCTGCATTTGAAGCCTCTCTGGGGAGTTTGTTAAAATACAAATAGTGATTTAATAGTTCTAGAAGGTAGGGCTTGAAAGTCTACATTTCTAACAAGCTCCCAGGTGAAGTGGATGCTATTTGTCTAGGTACTATACTTTTTGTAGTAAGTTTTATATGACTCTGAATAATATTCTTTTTAAAAATTAGATATACGATAATTTTATCATATTGAATTTTTAAAAGCCATTAGTCACAGTTTTTGGTTTTGTTTTTTTTGTTTATTTGTTTTTTATTTTTATTTCAGGATTTTATGAGGGTACAAACATTTTGGTTACATTTTATGTCTTTGCCTCACCCAAGCAAGGATTAGAGGCATGCCCTTCCCCTCTACAAAGTCATAGTTTTTGAAGATGAAACTGCAGATATTTGGGGAAACAGGAGAAGGGAATGATAACAAAGAAAGATGAATGGTTTTTGGAATGGTGCTTTTATTATGAAAAATCAAATGTAATATCCAATAAATGAATTAAATTCTTCAAAGTCTAAAACATTTTAACCAAAGGTACTTTTATTTTCTCTTTATTTGAGGGAAGTTTAGTTTGAATAATATATCAACTGTATGGAATTTCTGTTAAAACAATAACCTAACAGCCTTGAACTGCTTCAGAATTTGTTATCTTAGACAAAAATTTTCTTGCTGTGATCAGTTGTCATTTAAAGTAAATAAGTAGATGATATTCCATAGTGTGAGTATATTCTCTTGCTACGCAGCGAGATTGCCAAATTATATTCATTTAGAAATCAAAAAGCTATAGCAAAGAGTAAGACTTGTACACCACTAATTAAATGGGAATAACAGGACACATTAAAACATCTTTTGCCATATGAATGTATTATTTTATAGATTTTTGGCAACTCAAAGAAGTTATATTTTTTCCAGATTTTGGGTAATAAGATATTAAGAGGAATATCATTTATACTTAGACTGAGGAAACAAACTTCGGCTTTATAATGTTTCCCATTACCATTCCCATTTCTTGAAAAATAAAAATAAGCATTACAAATAATAATAAAAGCATTCAAAATAATATTTCTAATT